TTTGAAGCACCTGCACGTCCCAATTCAAGAGGTGTAGTGGCTAGAGAAGAGCTTGATACATTGATATCCACTGTGAGGCAACAGACTAAGGATGAGTTTGAAGCTTCATTTGCAGCTCGGCTTCTACAAATGAAAGAGCAAATGAAGGAGGAGATGATGAGCATGATGAGTTCACGACAGGAGACAACTGCTGAACCAGTTCATACATCTCCTGCATTTTATAGTACAAAAGGGAGTAATATTCTTGAGCATGTGTCAGAGGGTCTTTCTGGTGACAACATTGGTGAACCATGTGAGATATTTCTAGAAGATCCTAATAAATGCTTGGTTGCTCTTGGTAGCATCTATAGCTTGGGGTCAACCATCCACCACACGCAAATTCAAGATGATCAAGTAAGAGTGGTGGTTGCAGATCCAAAAGTACCAGATGCTTTTGTTCCATTCCCTACTGATGAGGTGAAGACTGTGGTTGAAGCTGTTGGCAATTTTATCCTATAGCCCAAGAGACTTGTGAATCTAGTTCAAGCTGTGGTATGAAATTTCATGAATTTTTATTATGTAGCAACTTCCTAATATATGTTTTTTATTAATTATTTCTTGTCTTTTTATTATGTAAAAGCTTTCCTCATTGAATCTCCCAAAGCTTCCACAACCCTCGTTGACTCCGCATCAGCGAATGATTTAATGGCGTATGATTTATCATTCGAGTTCAAGAGTTTAGAAATGGATTCGGAGGTTGTGGGCAAGAAAGACATGATAGTGACAATTGAACGGGAAGATTTGATTCGACTTCTGTCAAATAATCAACTTACCACACCACACATTGAACTATTTATGATGTAAGTATATTTTTCTTTAATATAATTGCATTGTTGTAAGTAAACTTAATCATCAAGTTTAGTAAACTAATATAATTGCATTGTTGTAGGTATCTTCATCATTTATGCATTACATCGGGCAAAGGTGATAAGTTTGGATTCCTTTGCCCTCATCACATGACAGAGAAAGGTAATACTCCAGAGTTAAGGGCCACGTACGTCCAACAGAGAATATGTGAAGTCAAAAAGGACGTTTTTATGGCTCCATATGTGCACTCGTAAGAATCAATTTATAATTAATAGTTTTTTAATATGGATTTACTTTAACTTGTATCATATTTAGCAAGGACCATTGGCAGTTATTTGTTCTTTCAATGAAGAGTAACACTGTCGTCTTTTTATGCTCCCTCCATTACAAACTTGGGAAAGAAATGAAGAAGACGATAGACTTGTAAGAATACTTTTACTAAACTATTTAATTTAATTTTTTTTTGAAGATTTTTACTAACTTGGTAATCTTGATCATAGGACAATGAGAACATATCAAAATGTAGTCTTACAAAAACATGGACATGAGCTCAAGGATCCCACATGGATTGAGCCAAAGGTGATGCTATACTTTATTAATATGTTCAACTATTAAGATTTCTTACTAATTTTTTATGATTTATTCTTATATAGAGTCATAGACTACCGGTGAGGACGAACTTGTGCGGTCTATATGTCATGAGGTACATGCTCAATATTATCACATTAGGCATGACCGAATTTACAAAAGAGGTAAATATATATATATTTTTAAAAATTTTATTTTATTATGTTATTTGAGATTGATTAATATGCCTACTTTATGAATTAAATTTTAAATGTTCGACAATTTGGATGCATTTTCTGAAGCTGAAATTGAAGACATCCGCATACGTTGGGCAACCTATTTTGTGGAAAACTTGTGAGGTTTTTTGTTACTTTTAGACATGTTTTAATTTTGATAGTTGACACAATTTAGATAATTATTAGTTTTCCTAATAGTTAAATAGTTTTGTATAGTTGATAAATACTTGATAAACAATTGTAAATGAATTGAGCTGTCTGATTTGGCAATTTTTATGCACAGGAATGGCAATTTTGACAATTTAGACAATTATTAGTTTTTTTAATAGTTAAATAGCTTTGTATAGTTGATAAATACTTGATAAACAATTGTAAATTAATTGGGCTATCCGATTTGGCAATTTCTATGCACAGGAATGGGTAAAATTGATAAAATAAATATAATATAAAATAAAATAAAATACTTTTTACACTGGTTATTACCACAACCGTTGTAGAATATAATATTTTTTACACCGATTATGGTAATAACTGGTGTAACACCGATTCCGATCCCAACCGGTGTAAAATGTGCACCTTTTACACCAGTTATTACACCGGTTATGGTAATAACCGGTGTAAAAAGTGTACCTTTTACACCGGTTCCAATCCCAACCGGTGTAAAAGGAACCGGTGTAAAAGGTGCACTTTTTACACCGGTTGGGATCGGAACCGGTGTAAAAAGTTAAAGTAAATTTTTTTTTAATTTTCTTGTATATAATTTTCAACATCGGCTCTATAACCGATGTAAAAAGAGGGACTTTCTACATCCCCTGAAACAACATCGTCTCGTTAACCATTGTAAAAAGTCATTTTTAACCGCTGTAAAAAGTCATTTTTGTACTAGTGTGCTGTAACGACACAACATAGGGTCCTAGTCCTTGATGTGTGTATTATGAGTAAAATCCAAAAACGTCGACAAGTAGTAACACCAAAGATTAGGTGGTGGCAATTAAAAGATGAGAAGCAAGATATTTTCAAGCGAAATCTTTTGGATAAAGGAATTTGGGAATCTTAGGGAAGTGCTAACATCATATGGGAGGATATGGCTAAAAAAATACAGGAGGTTGCAAAAGTAATTTTGGGAGAATCAAAAGGTTCTAGTCTGAGAGATAAGGAGTCTTGGTGGTGGAATAATAGTGTACAGGACAAAATCAAATATAAAAAGAACTGTTTTAAAGCCATACATTTGTGTAACAATGAGGAAAATTGGGAGAGGTACCGTATGGCTAAGAAGGAAACTAAGAGAGCTGTAGGTGAAGCTCGTTGTAAAGCTTTTGAAGAATTTTGTAAGAGCCTTGAGACGAAGGAAGGAGAGCGAAATATTTATAAGATTGTCAAGAGTAGGGAAAGAAAATCAAGAGATCTAGAACAGATAAGGTGTATTAAGGATGAAGAGGGAAGAATTTTAGTTACAAATGATGAAATTAAAAATAGATGGGAGACTTACTTTTCTAAACTTTTCAATGATGGAGAGGATTCATCTAATAACTTGGAGGATTTAGTAACTGGTGAAGGAGAACAAAATTTGTCATTCTATCGAATAATACGTGATAAGGAGGTAAAGGAAGCTCTTAAGAAAATGACAAATAGTAGAGCCAACGGACCTGATTGTATATCTATCAAAGCGTGGAAATGTTTAGGTGAAGAAGGAGTGAGATGGTTAACTAAGTTATTTAATGTGATTTTACGGTCCAAGAAAATGCCTGATGAGTGGAGGAGAAATACATTAATTCCTATTTATAAAAATAAAGGAGATATTTAGAATTGTACTAACTATAGAAGGATTAAACTCATGAGCCACACAATGAAATTGTGGGAGAAAGTAATTGAGCACAGGTTGAGATTGGAGACAAGTATTTCTGAAAATCAATTTGGTTTTATGCCAGGTAGATCAACTACAGAGGTGATTTATCTACTAAGGAGATTAATGGAAAAGTATCATTGTAAAGATAAAAATCTACACATGGTTTTTATTGATTTGGAAAAAGCTTATGACCGTATACCAAGAGAAGTGCTTTGGAAAGCGTTGGAAAAAAAGAGAGTACGGATTGCTTATATTAAAGCCATACAAGATATGTATGAGGGGGTAAAAACTAGTATAAGAACGCCTAGTGGCCAAACAAAGGATTTTCCTATAAAGATTGGACTACATCAGGGATCATCTCTAAGTCCTTATTTGTTCAACTTGATCTTAAATGTTTTGACGAAACATATTCAAGAGGAAATTTCGAAATGTATGCTCTTCGCGGATGATATAGTTCTTATAGCAGAGACAAGAGAAGAGGTTAATTGCAAACTTGAGTTATGGAGGAGGACATTGGAGTCGAAAGGTTTTTGTCTGAGTAAAAGTAAGACGGAATATTTATATTGTAAATTTGGTAAAGGACTATTCGACAATAATTTGGAAGTGAAATTGGGAGATCAAATTATACCTCAAGTGGAAAAGTTTAGATATTTGGGAGCCATTATTCAAAATGATGGCGAAATCAGTGGAAATATTTCACATAAAATTCAAGTTGGGTGGTTTAATTGGAGAAAAGCTAAAGGAGTTATTTGCGACCGTAAGGTGCCTAATAAACTTAAAGGAAAGTTTTATCGCACTGCTATCAGACCGGCAATGTTATATAGTAGTGAATGCTGGGCTTTAATGGGACAGCAAGAACATAAAGTTGGAGTAGCAGAGATGAGAATGTTACGATAGATGTGCGGACATACACGTAAAGATAAAATTCAAAATGAGTACGTACGCGAAAAAGTGAGGATGGCACCTATTGAGGAAAAAATGGTAGAAAATTAATTGAGATGGTTTGGGCATGTACAAAAAAGACCAAAGGAGGCACCAGTGAGAAGAGTGGAACATATAACTTTGAATCCGATTAAGAGAGTTAAAGGAAGACCTAAGAGAACACTCTTAGAAGTTATGGAACGCGATCTCTTAATTAATAATATTCCTAAAAGTTTGATAAATGATAGAGCACAATGGCATCTTGCAATCTATGTAGCCGACCCCACCTAATGGGATAAAAGTTTGTTGTTGTTGTTGTTGTTGTTGTTGTTGTTGTTGAATATTTTTACCCCTAATCCATTCACAGATGACATAATAGGTGACACCCACAATCTTTACAAGACATTTGGCCACATTACGAATTGAGATTTTCAATTTTTGAGAATTCATAGGTAAAATTGTACCATACTTAAGTTATGGATGCAAGTAGTACTCTATAAGTAGATTTGCACCTTAACCTTGTATGAGAAAACAAAATCACAAACACATTGCCTAATGAGCACCGGCAAAATGTTTGGAACAAGTGACAGTGAAGTATGTATCCATTGAACACAGCAGGTTAGTCCACCAATGGTACATAACGAGTCTCAGAAATGAGAGAACTCGTGTTTTTAGAACACGGTTCATATGCTAATTGAAACCCATCTCAACCACTACAGAGGTCCACCATTGTGCTAGGTTTTACAACGCATCCTCGATCAAACTCTAAAATACAGATAATTTTTAGACCTGTTTTCAGATTTTAACCGAAGGTGGATCACTTGGCAAGCATGTTTTGCTGAGCCTGGTTTTCCAGCTGTTGCTGATAGTTCAGCGGCCTCCTGAAGAGCATTATGTGTGGCTCAGGACGATGAATTGCATAATGAACCCAACCACGGCTCTGCTGAACTCCAATTGCACGCCACTCATTCTATATCAAAAGGCAACATAACGTTCCGAGTTTCATAAAATGCGCAAAGTTAGTAGATAGAAATCAGTTAAAAAGAAGTAGCAAAATTGAGAAAATATCATTCAGCATACAACAGATCCAAATAACTTATAATGAAGTATGTTTGAGCAGTTAAAATCATAAAATGATAGAGACACAGAACATACTGCCCTGTACCCGTAGTACATGTGAACTAAAACAAGGATAACTTAGAGAATATTACATGAATAGCCCAAGACACATCAGTTGATTAAAGCATGTAAATCATTAAAACGCATTTTTTTCATTATGATGAAAATAAATAGCCTCAAGAGAGGCCGTCACTGTCTGCATCCATCCATCCCAATGACCCTTAATCTTTACAGGATAAAAACCAAACTACATCCTGTGCATTTATATATTTATTCATTCAAATAAAGAAAAGAAAGTGGAAAAAACCAAAGAAAGTGACACAAAATAATGCATGATAAATAGGATCCATATCTGGTCATTGTCCTTCTCATTTCTTTCCTCTCTATTATATCTTTCGTAATACACCATGTACATCCACTCGGGATCAGATCGATAAAAAAGCCTACTAATGATCAGTTTTGAAAGTTGACGCAAGATCTTAATCAATCTTCAGCGTGGATAAAGGCTCACTCGTTAGGACTTAAGCCTTTATTTAACCTTGCACGAAGATTTAATCGTCTCTAAATTCTATAGAATCGTCGATCAAAAGTGGGTTACAAGAATTTATCAATCTAGAGTCTAGACTACACTATGCTGGCTGTGAATCTGACTGATACAGTATATGTAATGAAAAGATCAAGGCTAATCATAAAACAAGCATATAGATAAGAGAACCCTAATCACATACTTCAGAAAGAAGACGATTCTTGGGAAGAAGTTTGGCCACTTCAGGAGGTAGAACCACATGCCTGAATAATCAATTATTACGAGTCACGATGGAGAATTTTACACTTGATCACGATAAGTAAACGATAATGGGCGAAGACAGTAGTCAAATGTGGTTACCTATACTCATAAGTATCATCGAAATACTTCTCAGAATATTGGATCTGACCCATTTCTCACTCTAGGGTTTGTCAATTCGTACTTTAACCTGCGCAGATAGAGAACTTTAGAAGAAAATTATCGGAAAAACTGATATTGACAAGAGAGAAAATGGAATATAATAAACTACCAGGAGGAGAGAATCAGAGAAAGCAGCGAGAGGAAAGGAGGGTTCAAGATTTGAGGCCCTGGGCTCCACTTGAGTAGAGAACCGTAGTCGGAATTCGGAAATAAGAACAAAATGTAGAGGAGTTGAGACCTGTGAAGGAAAGGGCAAGACTTCGAGGATAGTGACAGAGGGGTCGGATTGTAAATTCGTAAGCGAAAAAGATTTCTTAATAGAGACGCTCCCGCGTTAAAAAATTAAGATATTTTAAAGAAAAAATGGCAAAAAAATTCATATAAATTAGGTAAACGATGTATTGATTTTATAAAATGATATAATTTTTTTAAAATTTCTTAAAAATTTTTTCATTAAAAAATCAAATAAAATGACCAAATTACTCTTAAAATAAACAAAAATCTCAATCCTCACTAAAAAAACTTGCAAATTTTCTGATCCGTCTTGGGTTCTTAAGTTCTCCATTCACATTTTTATTCATGATATTCTTTTAATCCGTCTCACTCTCCTTCATCTCCTTCTCCTTCTTCTCGTGTTTCTTTTTTTTAATTTCTGTACATGAGTTTTTGTTTTGTTTGGTTGCTATGCATAGAGAGAGAGAGAGAGAGAGAGATATATATATATATATATATAAGCAAACATTTTTTCTCTATTGCGTATGCTGTACATGGGTAAATTTTCTCTCTTCCTTAAAATTTTTTCCTCTCATAGGTAACAGTTGAAGTTGATGTGGGTGTGTGTAAATGATTGAAGTTTTCATTTTTTTCTCCATGCTTAAAGCTAAAAAACGTAGGCACCAATGCTTATTTAGAGGGTATTGATAAATTATAATTTCTTGTTGCATAGTTACGAACTTAGAAACAAGACTTGGTAATATTAGAACCAAAGTTGTTAATGGAGACTTGCGAATTTTTAACTATGATGCATGTTTGAACTTGCACGCTAAGACTTGCAAATGGGTAATAAATTATTGTTAGTTTAGGGACAAAAGTTTTTAATTTGAGAACTAAAATTGTGAATGGAGACTTGTGAATTTTCAAGTTTGATGCTTATCTAGACTTGCACACCAAGACTTGCGAATGGTTAATAAATTGTTACAAATTTAGGAACAAAAGTTTTTAACCTGAGAACCAAAGTTGTAAATGGAGACTTGCGAATTTTTAACTCTGATGCTTGTTTGGACTTGCACGCCAGAACTTGCAAATAATTAATAAATTATTGTGAATTTAGAGACAAAACTTGTTAATATTGGAATCAAAATTGTGAATGAAGACTTGCGAATTTTCAACTCTGATGAATGTCTAGGCAAAAGTGTCATTTTTTTTAATTCCCTAATGATAAAAAGATCTTAAGAGACTGCAGGGGAATTATACCATTTCGTCATATCAATCTATCATTTACCTAATTTAAATAAATTTTTTCTGTCATTTTCCCTATTTTTAATGGAAACTAATTTTAATAAAATAGTTAATTATTTTTAAATTAATATAGTTATATTTTAATATTTATTTTTATTTAAAATAATTTATTTATTATAGGTATTTTTAAAAAATGTACATTAACTATACTCGAAACAATAAAAATGTCTTCCATCTTTGTACAAAGGGACTAATAGAGATAAATAATTCGTTTATACTTAAAATATAAATAATTTATTCTATTTTACATAAATTATTTTATAATTTATTATCCAATTTATATTAAAATATCAATAATAATTTATTATTTAAAAAAGTAACGTCTCCCTACATAAATTAAACATTAAACAATAATTCGTTCTATTGTATAATTTACTACCACCACATATTAAAAAGAAATTTGTTTTGTTTTTGAATTTTTTTTATCCTTATGCACTTTAAAAATATAAATAACAGACTTGTACTATTTAAAAATTGATTAGTTTATTTTAAAAAGTTAAACAACATATTTTATTTAAAATTTTGAAGTATACTTGACTTGCATTCTTTGTCTTAGATCACGCATGAGGTCTATATCTATAATATCTTTTCTAAAAAATTTTAAAATATTTATTTTTGTTTTAAACTGAAACTAAAAAAGTCAACTATTAATTGATGTTAGCTTGTCAAGTCAAAAGAGTGTAACCTTCAAGAAATAAAAGAAGACCAATCACTGCTTAAAAATCGTTCATCCAATATTACTGTTTATCATTAACCAACTTCTTTGTTTCTACTTTGGCTAAAAGGGTAATATTTATTCAAGCCAAGTTGGAAAAAAGTACATCAGACAGGACCGAGAATACAGGGAATTAGAAGAAAGAAAAGCATGGATAGCTTAACTTTCGAATATAAAAAAAATTACTTGTTTATAAATAAAATTATAATTATAAATTTCAATAAACATTTATTTTATTTTTAAAAATTAATTTTTATAAAGTTAATATTTACTTTCACTCGACTAATGTATTCCATCAGTTGTGAGAATAGTTTAATCCACTTTTTTCAATTTTATACATAATCATAACACCACACCAATTTTTTAAAAACAAGTTAATTATTTTCTTATATTTAAAAGCATCCACCACCTTTGCTCATTGAGATGGGGGACAATGAGACGACCAAATGAATTTGTGTAAATATTTAAACTAAGTGAATTTTTTTCCCATTAAAAATACCTTTGTATCATACTACACAATTTGAATAATTTATTCTGAAGCGTCCAATGTTACTCACATAAAACGTCTACTAAAAAAGTGGCACGGGTCACTCTCAGATGACTTGAATAATAAAAAAGATAAAATAATTATACATGATTCCCAAAAAAAGATATCACTAAGTGATGGAAAATTTTTAACATCAACTCTTTTTTTTTTTCTTTTTAATTTTGAATCTGCGTTGTCCTAGCTTCCCCTATGTCGCCGTTCTATCCTCCATTTCTGTGCTACAAAAAATATCATTACAGCTAGAGGTGTTTTTGCCTGTTCAACTGTACACCAAAAAAGATAAATCCCTGTACATACACTGAAATGAAATGTGGTCTGCACCCCGGAAACCCCTCCCCACCCCCCCCCCCGCCAAAAAAAAGGAAAAAAAATATTAAAAGGACTGTGCCATAAAGCCCCCCCGCAAAAATTTCCTCGTTCACACAGCATTCACGCGCACGTCGGGTGGTGCAGGAACAGATTTCCTCAGCACTGATGTCCCCTGAAATATCATCATGTGATAATATCTCTTGTAATTGTTTACCTGTAACATTATACGGCTGTTAGTCCACCAACTAACGAATCTCAAGGAACCAAATCAAGCCAAAAGCACACAAATAATACACGTACCTCATCTTGTTCTAACTTTGTAAAACCAAATTTACTTGTCCATATTGATTCAGCTTCTTCAGCAGCTGGCAGGACAAACTGTTTCACATTTAAAGATCCAAGCAGCCTTTCAATGCAAGAAAACAAGGACTGGAAGTAACCCTACAAAAATAACAATATCCAGTCAGAATATGCATGGTCATTCAATAGAATGTTCTGCAGCTTGTAATATTCCCCCAAACTCACAGCTTGCAAGAACAAGTGAAATAAAACTACCTGTCCTTGGCAATCTGCAATTGTTGCCACTAAGGGAAGCTCTGCCACCTCTGCTCCAAATATACGAAATATGCCCGCAGAAACAACCACTTTGCTGCCAAAAAAAAAAAAAATCGTAAGCAAGAAAAAGCATTTGGTCAGAGGAGTACATCCCACCAAAATATTCCACCCGCATGCTTACTTGACTGTTAGCACTGCACAGTACATCCCACCAAAATCTTGACCCCTGATATTCCTACTGTAAAAATCCAACCAACAGAGTAAAACTCACTCACAAATCATGTAAGGCAAGAAAATCAATACAGAAGAAAATCGTGCTTACCCATAAAGCATTGTCGGAATGAAATCACGGCCTGAACTTGCATCAACTATTGGATCAAACCGCTCCTATAAAACAATATAAAGTTAAGTTTGCATATAAGATTACCAATTTTGATATTGATTAATAATATTACAAACTAGAAATAGAATTTTGCACTTCAATTAAATAATAATTTATTTTAACGTTATCCTTGGGCTCCCAACATAACTAGTCAGTGTAGGGTGAGACTTAGACCAGACCATTTTGAACTCTCCCAACTTCCTCCCCAAGAGTTCTCTGATTCTCCCACTTAACCCCCCCCCAATTTTCCCCCATTTATAACTGTTCTGCATCAGTAAGCCTCTGTTAGGACCCCACTAATAGCCTCCAGAACAGCTCACAAAATGACCAGATAACAGAACATATTTACACAAGAACTAGAAAAGAATTGAAATATATTACTTCCACTCACAAGTTCGGTCCATAATTCATATAAGCACCTAGGGATACAAGTACATATTAAGGCACTCCAACTACATACACTAAAACAAACATAGATGAACAACAGCATAGAACACCAACAAAGATGGAGAAGTAGACTTGTAGCTTGTTGGTCAGTGTGCTGCACACTCAGCCTATAGGTTGCAAGTTCGAATGGCAGACCAAAAAAAAAAAAAAAACAGATGGGGGAGGAGACTAATTGCAGATCCTAACCAAATCATCCTCTCCCTCCATCCCCATTGGCTATTCTCTTCATACATCCCACTGAAAAACTTCTTTTAACTGCTCCCCACCCCCACCCCCAACCTCTATCACTACTCCCGTCTTATCTGACTTTTGGCCACTATGCCTTCTTCTGAACAAATAGTCTCCCATTTTCTGCACACTCCCATATTGGTCACAGCCTCCAAATGACAACTAGCTCTCAAGCAAATTAAATTGGATAAGATAGGCACCAAAATGAAAAATCAACATCAACTAGTATAGAAACACAAACTCACATGGAAGATTGCAACAGCCTTGGAAAGCAGTTGCCTAGTTTCATCAGAAGCAGCCAGTTTCCAATTTAAGATTCTCCATTTTATATCTAGACCACCCCCATTTTCTTGGCCCTCTCTTCATGCTTCTTTTGTATCATACTTAAAAGAGAATCCGGAAGATTCTCCGCCCCACAAGAGACCAAATTAAGCAGAGAAGAATGAATCTGACTGCAATCAGTACAGCAGAACCAATTTCCTTCAGGCAATTCCTGGCAAAAATAACCTCCATTAAAACCGTATATATGATTAAATTTATTTATTTTTGGGTGGAGCAAGAAAAC